CTCTGCTGTCCACAACAATTTCACTTTGTGCTGCGCCATGACTGCGTTTGTTATGGTGTCGAAATGAATCGTTTCTACGATGCATTGTGATGCGGACGGAACGATTTGGTATCGGTTCAGTAATAGACCATAACCGGTTATAATGCACTGACGCTTTTTTCTGACGTCATTTATCACGTATGTGCTTTGTTGCGGTAGCATACACTGGCAGAGGGAGGCGAGTCCCCCCGAGTGCGAGTCAATAAAACTACTTTAAAAGCCTACATCTGGCCACATTTGGCTTTTATGAACAACCCGGTAAGACCTGGAGAAGACGCGCTGTGTGCGCTCATGTCACGCACACAGATTATGCAGGATGTAATACCACTAACTTGATAAACCGTGTTAGCCGTGTGCACCCGAGCTGTTCTTGCTTGCAGATTCACTGCTTTAGAGTAAGATGAGCTCCAATGTCACCCGAATCCACAGCCAAACACACATCATCCACACGCCCTAATAATGCTCTCTAACTTAAGTATCCGCACCCAATGGTCAAATTAAAATTATACTGTGTTGCGTATATAACTGGCTTAATTGTTTTAAGCCAGTTGTACACACTGAAAACAATTATAAACGCAACACTTTTGTTTTTGCCCCCATTTTTCATGAGCTGAACTCAAAGATCTGAGACTTTTTCTATGTACACAAAAGGCCATTTCTCTCAAATATTGTTCATAAATATGTGTTAGTGAGCACTTCTTCTTTGCCGAGATAATCCATCCACCTCACAGGTGTGTTTTAGGCTGGCCACAATAAAAGGCCGCTCTATAATGTGCAGTTTTATCACACAGCACAATGCCTCAGATGTCGAAGTTTTGAGGGCGTGCGATTGGCATGCCGACTGCAGGAATGTCCACCAGAGCTGTTGCCCATGCCAATTGAATGTTAATTTCTCTACCATTAGCCGTTTCCAAAGGTGTTTCAGAGAAGAATTTTCCAGCACATCCAGCCGGCCTCACAACCGCACACCACGTGTAACCACATCAGCCCAGGACCTCCACATCCAGCCTCTTCTCCTACAAGACTGAGACCAGCCAACCGGACTGCTGCTGCAACAACCAGTTTGCATAGCTGTCAGAAAGTGTCTCAGGGAAGCTCATCCGCATGCTCGTCCTCCTCATCGGGGTCTCGGCTGGACTACAGTTCATCCTTGTAACCGACTTGAGTGGGCTAATTCTCACATTCGATGCCGTCTGGCACTTTAGAGAGCTGTTCTCTCCACGGATGAATCCCGGTTTTCACTGTACAGGACAGATGGCAGACACCGTGTATGCCGTCGTGTGGATGAGCGGTTTGCTGATGTCAACGTTGTGGATCGAGTGGCCCATGGTGGCGGGAGGGTTATGGAATGGGCAGGCGTATGTTATGGACAATGAACACAGGTGCATTTTATTGATGGCATTTTGAATGCACAGAGAGACCGTGACGAGATCCTGAGGCCCATTGTTGTGTCATGTTGCAGCATATATAGTTGCATATATAGTATGCAACAATATCATGTTGCATACTCACCGGATATGTGACCCATTGAGCATGTTTGGGATGCTCTGGATCGGCGTTTAAGACGGTGTGTTCCAGGTTCTGCCAATATCCAGCAAGTGGACCAACACTGGACCAACATTACACACTCCACAATCAACAACCTGATCAACTCTATGCGAAAGAGATGTGTTGCACTGCGTGAGGCAAATGGTGCTCACACCAGAGACTGACTGAGGGTTTTTTGACCCCCCAATACAGTAGAACTGCACATTTTAATGTGGCCAGCCTGAGGCACACCTGTGCAATAATCACATAGTCTAATCAGCATCTTGATACGCCACACCTGTGAGGTTGATGGATTATCTCGGCAAAGGAGAAGTGCTCACTAACACTGATTTAAACGATATGTGAACAATATTTGAGAGAAATGGCCTTTTGTGTACATAGAAAAAGTCTTAAATCTTTGAGTTCAGCTCATGAAAAATGGGGGCAAAAACAAATGTGTTGCGTTTATAATTGTTCAGTGTGTGTGTGTGTATATATATATAATGCTATAGTGTTTCAGTAGGTAATATCAGATTACATTTCTTAACATTTCTTTTGTCATTAATTGTAATAATCAGTAAATAATCAGTTATCAATAATCAGATATTTGCACTATAGTGTGCAACTTTTCTAGAAGAACATTAATGGAGTCAGTGTTGCACCGACATTGTAATTCTGGCCGATACCAATACGTTGATGATGTTCATGTTGGTCTAAAACTTTAAAAGCATCTGTTTAACACAACATTTCATCTGAATATCATTTGAAATGTATTTTTTAGATATCAGATGTAAAACCAGTTTTAAGCTCTAGATACAGGTTTGAGTTACATCTGAGTTTCTGATCAGTATATAACTGATTTCTTCCAGGTGTTCAGAAGATGCCCATCGAGAAAACCACTGACGTGCCTCAAGGTACCCGAGGTTTAAATCAGAATATGACCATCTAGTAAGCTTTATCTATGAGAGCTCATGTACTTACAAAGCATGTTGTATTCTGTACAGAGAATGACAGTGAGGAAGAAATTGAAAACCTTGTGGAAAGGACAAAAAGTGTGCTGGTCAAATGCTGAAGTTACAGCTGCAATTAAACATGTTAAGGCACATATAACCAAAGGAAAACTGGCCACACTGACTGAATGGCAGAAGTGTAAGACCACTGAAGACCCTTTCTGTAGAGTTTCAATCTCTACCTCACTCTCATTCTCAGCGCAGGAGAATACATGCTTTAGTAAGCTCTAAACACACGGGAGCTCATGTACTTACAATGATAGTTATATTAACACTAGACGCTAGTCTAGAGCTGATGTACAACCCAAGCAAACTTTGTTAAATAATTTTCCTGTAAATCTGCTTTGAAACTTGACTTGACAATTCTGTTTATATTTTCTGGAAATAACAGAGGTAAACCGTCCGTTGTAATTTGGTTTGTTTTGCAAATGTATATATCGCGATATGCATATCGCGACGGCTTGCAATAGCTGGGGTCATGAACAAAAGAAAATCACTCACTGCTGTTTGCTGAATAACTGTATATATGTAAATAATACAGTGAAAACTAAGCAGTGTTTTATTTTCACATTTGATTATTCAGTTTCTGTTGTTAAATAATCCTAATGTAGGATAATCTGAACCCTGTGCTTTAGCATAAGAAGTGTTATTTTAATATCAGTGTACAGTAAAACACTGATGTTCACTTTCAGAAGCTGATGTTTTCTTGTCACAAAAAGAATGTGAAACATGTATGTAAGGTTAAATAATAGATAATTTAAGTTTGTTTTACACACTTTAAACATTACTGTATCGAATATCGCATTATTTAATGAGTTAACGCATATCGCTTTTTCTTCAGTACTGTGCAGCACTAAGCAGCATCTATTGTATGTTGAGTGAGTTAATTTTATACATTTCAAAGCCTGTTTAATGACATCTTTAAAATGTGTCTGCTTCAAAGGGCTGTTTTGTCAATCATTGACCATGTTTTTAAGTTTGTGGATGTGACTTTACACTTAAAATGGCATGACATGATGGAATTACATGGTAAAACTGAAAAAAAAAAACTCAATGTTTATGATGATATTATTGAAGTCATAATTAAAGCACTTGTAAAACACTTCTGTCCCTGTAATGTTGCAAGTTTTTTTGTGTATTGTATTGGAGATCCAGTACTCTTAAATCACCCTAGTCTTGGTAATACACCATCTCGTCAGGTTTGTGTGTGTGTGTGGGCATGTACCAGTAAAACACACTCGTCCGTATAATGTTGGATTGTGCAGTTGTGTATTGTGTTTAAGATCCAGTACTCTTAAATCACCCTAGTCTTGGTAATACACTATGTTATCAGGTGTGTGTGTGTGTGTGGCCATGTACCAGTAAACACACTCGTCCTTATAATGTTGGATTGTGCAGTTGTGTATTGTGTTTAAGATCCAGTACTCTTAAATCACCTTAGTCTTGGTAATACACCCTCTCGTCAGGTTTGTGTGTGTGTGTGGACATGTACCAGTAAAACACATAGGTCCCTGTAATCCACCCAAATGACATATTTTGTGTATTGTAAAATGAGTGTCCTCATAATCAGGTCGGGCCCCATAAATCACAATTATGTCATAGGCGGGAACATTTTAGGAGGGGGCGGGAATGTCCTTGTATACCACCATTTTTATATTTTCTGTTCTGTTGTGTGTATAGAACATTTAAAGTCAGATTTGTGATCTGCAGATCAAAACAAAATTTTTGATAGTTGTATCATCACTGTAGGGCATTGGGAAAGGTGTGTCCCTATATACCACCACCACACCGGTGCGACCTTCTATACCACAAAAACAAGTATGTGTGTGTGTGTGCGCGTGTGCACCTGCTGTCTGGTCTATTACACAGTAGTGCAGTGCCAGATCAGTGCTGTGTGTAATAAGCCCAGCAGTGTTTATGTGGATGAGTGCGTGTTGCCGCTGATTGTGTCCTCTTCACATCCGTTCCTCCAGTCCTCCAGCACCTGACTGCCAACACTCACTTCAGTCCCTAATATGAAGACATGTTGTGATGATCCGTGTCAATATCGGGATTCTGATTACACCTGGTTTGGCCTATACATCCTTTAACATTCCCAGTTATTTAAGCCTCTAAATGTGTGTGTTGTGTACAGTTATAACCGATCTTCAGGCAGTTTAATGGGATTTATGTAACACGTTGCCCCCCCCCCCCCCCCCCCTTTTTGTAGGGAAAGTGTTGGATATTTATAATGGCATAAATGCTAAGTGGGATCTCCATATCTCAGCTCTGGAAGGGTCTAGTAAAGATATAAAATGTAAAACCTAACATTAAGGTCTCTAGCGTTATATTTTGCCAACGAACTAAAATTGAAACCATGTTATACAAATCTGTGTTTCGAAAAGGGAGAAGAGAGAGTTCGGCAAGGCGGATTCGAACTCGCGTTCAGCGCTTCAAAAAGCTGCTGTCAAGTACTTCACGCCCTACGACCCACGCCACTGAGGCTGTTTCAACACGGGTGTCGTTTTGCTGTAAAGACAGGCACTTGTGCAAATATATGCTCCGTTGTAGAAAATGTAAAAAAAAAAAAAAAAAAAAAAAATGTTTTCTTCCCTTAGCTTGGGCCATGGCGAACTTCCAATAAATACATTTTATCAGACCGGGCCGGGCCGGCCCTCGCGGCTTCGAAACTACCGGTGTCAGAACACCGGCCCACCGGGAAAACTCCCGACTCTCCCGATTGCCACTCCGCTTCTGATGAGCAGTGACAGATCAATGCGACTCAGATGAACGCACTGAATTGTCACTACTGAAGTGAACACAAATCTGTGTAGCCAACTCAATTACTAATTATTATTTTTGAGTCATTCCACGAAACCGGTACGATTTGAGTCCCTCTGACCTTTTTAAGTGTATTTTACCTATTGGGTCACCAAAATCTATTATTAAAAGCTTTTTGTGTCAGTTGAAATGTCTCCTTTAATAGAGTTTAAAAAGAATGACAAACATTTTTTCTTTATATTAGAAATTATCTTGTTTTTTCAGTTGACACCACCTATTTTGTCATGTCCCTCATGGCCTTCTATGAAAGTGTACTTGGAATATGAATAAGAAAATTAGAAAAAAAGTCCATACATTTTGCTATTCCCATGAATATCTATATGTGCTTTTTTTGTTGGTAATATTTAAAAAAAAAAATTCATGATTAATCATTAAAATCACATTATTTAGTTCCGTACCTCAGTAATCCCTCAACCCCGTTACACACATCATTCTCCCCCCATAAAAATAATGAACAGATCCTAATGTAACATCAACAACAGGAAGTAACATCACAGAAGTCTTCTGAACAACATTGTGTGCAGACACAGGCAAGTTACCAACTACTTTTAGAACTATATCTTATTTAGAATTGTGATATTGTGGTTGTCAAGCTCAACGGCTCAACCCCGTTACATCAAATAAAGATAGAATTCTATTACTTGTGAAAATGATATTTGTTATTTCAAAAGCATACATGATTTCTTAATATCATGCATTCCATTTGCTCTCCTGTTATTCACTACATATAGAGCAGTGGCCATTTTTAGCAAAAAATCACAACCCCGTCACACTCAACCCCGTTACTTCTTTGCCATGAAGCATGCGCACAATTAAAAAAAACCCACACAAACACCCACACATACATCAAAAAAGCACACAAGTTATAGGTTTTATTTTGATGACCTATTCAGTCATTTTATAATGTTCTAATGTATACTACGTTATTGTTGTTTTTCCTGCAGTCGGGTTAATAAAACTGAGTTGCAATTGCAATTTATATCTGTTGTTTTTCTTGGTAACCTAATAAAATAAAGTGCTTATAGAAAATATTACAGTGAATTTGACTAAAAAAAACAACTACTCATATGTTAAGCTGTATTTGTCTCTTCAACCCCGTTACCATCTTCAACCCTGTTACCCTAGTCTCAACCCCGTCACACCCACATTTTTATGAATTTTTTTTTACGTTTATGAAAAAGTAAATTATTGTTTGTTGAACTCAGTCTGAAATGTTCAGAGCAATCATAAGAATACTGAATACATAAGAATACTTCAAATTCTGAAGTTAAGCCACATCTTTGATCAAAAATGATGAGGTTGCTGTCACAAAAAGTGCCCATTTCAGGCTTTAGTATAGCATAAGTGTGAAATGATGTGTACATTTTACATTTGCAATAATTGAATTAGAGTGAGGGACATCTGACTAATAGGAAAATGTTGATTTCATTACAAATATATTTTATAATTATATTCAGAGAGCTTCCATATTGTCCATAACGGGGTTGAAGACTAATAGCGCTCATGTCTTAAAATAATTACCAATAATAAAAAGTATTTAATGCCTGAGGTGGGAAAATATGTTTTTCTGGAAGTTAAATATGTCATCAATGTTGTGGGGTGTTCAGAAAAGTAATACATGTTGGTAAAAAATCCAAAAATGTGTAAGTCCAAATCGTACCGGTTTCGTGGAATGACTCTTTTACTAACCCCCCAAACTATAATTTTCATCCCTTTTGGGATGGTCCAAATGTTTTCAGACTCTTTGAGATATGAAGTGATGTGGAGCATGAGTAAAATGGTGCTTTTGACATTGGGTTAATGTAAACCTGTTGTAGGAGAGCTGCAAAATAAAAACAGCCTAGTAGGCACTTTAAAAACTAATGGAAATGTTGATAGCACACAAATCATTTTTTATGCTTATTCAAACCTACCTACCTAGATCACTCACATCAGCTAGAAACACCAAGGGTTCACTCTAAGCATGGAGATTCTGCTTTTAGCTATTATGCCAGCAGCCGCCACTGGAACCAGCTTCCAGAAGAGATCAGGTGAGCTCCTACAGTAGTCACATTTAAATCCAGGCTCAAAACACATCTGTTTAGCTGTACATTTTGCCACTGTTCGTCCGACTGTTACTGTACTTCGTTTTATTTTTGATTCTAAATTGTTTTAATTATTTACTGTATTTTATTTTTATAATTATTTTTATTTTTCATATGTTTTATTCTAAACTGTTCTAATTATTTTGATTTCTTTTGATTATTTTAATTTTTTCTATGTAAAGCACTTTGAATTGCCATTGTGTATGAAATGTGCTATATAAATAAACTTGCCTTACCTACCTACCAGTATTAACTTTCACATGCAGTTACACATTAACCTACCTACCAGCATTAAATAAAAAAAAATATCAAACAACCCATACATCCCCACATGTTGTTTGAGAGGGTTTCAAGAAAGATCCTCCTCACTCCTCCAAAAACAAACTCCAGCATATTCAGGTATCAGACACGACTGGATCTTCAAACGGCACAGGGTTCTGTGGTCAGATGAGACTAAAAAAAGAGCTTTTTGGCAGTAAGCTCACTAGATAGTTTGGTGGACATGAGGATAAAAAGTACCATGTGTACAATTTAATAAACCATTGGATCTTTAATGTTGGGGACCTATTTTTCAGCAGGAGGTCCTGGACTTCTTATTCAGACACATGGCATTGTGGATTCTATTAAATATCAACAGATAAAAAATCAAAACCTGACACCTTCTGCTAGAAATCTTATTATGGGCCATGGTTGGATCTGCCATCTGGACAACGATCCAAGACAAACATCAAAATCAACACAAAAATTTGTTAGGGAGCACAAAATGAAGCTTCTGCCATGACCGTCCCAGAACCCTATAGAAAATGAGTGGTCCGAACTGAAGAGAAGAAGCACAAACATGGATCTGGGAATCTGAAGGATCTGGAGAGTCTGTATGGAGGAATGGTCTCTGATCTCAGGTCAGGTGTTGTCCAAACACATCAGGCATTATAGCAGAAAACTCAGAGCAGTTATCTTGGCAAAAAGATATTGCAAAAAGGTATTTAATAAAAGGGTATGAGTAATTGTGGCCAACGTGTTTTGGAAAAAAACATTTATTTTATAATGTGATCCCACATTACACATTAACAAACATACCTACCAACCAGTATTAACGTTCACATAGTTACACATAAACCAACCTACCAGTATTAACTTTCACATGCAGTTACACATTAACCAACCTACCTACTGTATTAACTTTCACATACAGTTACACATTAACCAACCTGCAAGTATTAACTTTCACATGCAGTTACACATTAACCAACCTACCTACCTACAAGTATTAACTTTAACATGCAGTTACACATAACCTACCTACCAGTATTAACTTTCACATACAGTTACACATTAACCTACCTACCAGTATTAACTTTCACATGCAGTTACACATTAACCAACCTACCTACCTATAAGTATTAACTTTCACATGCAGTTACACATTAACCTACCTACCAGTATTAACTTTCACATACAGTTACACATTAACCAACCTACCTACCTATAAGTATTAACTTTCACATGCAGTTACACATTAACCTACCTACCAGTATTAACTTTCACATAGTTACACATTAACCTACCTACCAGTATTAACTTTCACATGCAGTTACACATTAACCTACCTACAAGTATTAAATTTCACATGCAGTTACACATTAACCTACCTACCTACAAGTATTAACTTTCACATGCAGTTACACATTAACCTACCTACCTACAAGTATTAACTTTCACATACAGTTACACATTAACCTACCTACCTACCAGTATTAACTTTCACATACAGTTACACATTAACCTACCTACCAGTATTAACTTTCACATACAGTTACACATTAACCTACCTACCTACAAGTATTAACTTTCACATGCAGTTACACATTAACCTACCTACCTACCTACCAGTATTAACTTTCACATACAGTTACACATTAACCTACCTACCTACAAGTATTAACTTTCACATGCAGTTACACATTAACCTACCTACCTACCTACCTACCAGTATTAACTTTCACATACAGTTACACATTAACCTACCTACAAGTATTAACTTTCACATGCAGTTACACATAAACCAACCTACCAGTATTAACTTTCACATACAGTTACACATTAACCTACCTACCAGTATTAACTTTCACATACAGTTACACATTAACCTACCTACCTACAAGTATTAACTTTCACATGCAGTTACACATTAACCTACCTACCTACCTACCAGTATTAACTTTCACATACAGTTACACATTAACCTACCTACCTACAAGTATTAACTTTCACATGCAGTTACACATTAACCTACCTAGACCTACCAGTATTAACTTTCACATACAGTTACACATTAACCTACCTACAAGTATTAACTTTCACATGCAGTTACACATAAACCAACCTACCAGTATTAACTTTCACATACAGTTACACATTGACCTACCTATCAGTATTAACTTTCATAGTTACACATAAACCAACCTATCAGTATTAACTTTCATAGTTACACATAAACCAACCTATCAGTATTAACTTTCACATAAAGTTACTCATTAACTTTCACATGCAGTTACACATTAACTTTCACATACAGTTACTCATTATCGTTCGCATGCTGTTACTCGTCATTTCACATGCAGGTACTCATCATTTTTCACAGGCAGGTACTCGTAAACTTTCACATGAAGCTACTCGTAAACTTTCGCTTGCAATTACTCAACAACTTTCTCACGCAGTTACATATCGATTTTCACTGCAGTTACACATTAGCTTTCACATGCAGTTACACATCAACTTTCACAAGCAGTTACTCGTCGCCTTTCGCATGCCCGTTACTCATTAACTTCGCTTGCAAGTTACTCATTAACTTCAGTGCAGTTACTCATCATTTCACATGCAGCTACTCATAAACTTCGCTTACAAATTACTCATCAACTTTCAGATGCAGTTCCACATAAACTTTCTCTGCAGTTACACATAGACTTTCACATGCAGTTACCGGTTAACTTCGCTTGCAGTTACTCATTACCTTTCACATGCTTGCTACTCGTCTTTCACATGCAAGTACTCATATCTTTCACATGCAGCTACTCGTTACCTTTCGCATGCAGCTACTGGACATTTTCCGATGCAGTTACATATCGATTTTCACTGCAGTTACACATTAGCTTTCGCATGCAGTTACACATTAACTTTCACTGCAGTTACTCGTTGCCTTTCGCATGCAGCTACTCATTAACTTCGCTTGCAAGTTACTCATTAACTTCACGTACAGCTACTCACCATTTCACTGCAGTTACACGTTAACTTCGCTTGCAAGTTACTCATACTTTCACCTCAAGTTACTCGTACTTTCACCTGCAGTTACACATTAATTATCACACGCAGTTACACATATGACTTTCGCAAGCATTTACTCAATAACTTTCACCAGCAGTTACACATTAACTTCCACTTGCAGCTACTCATAAACTTCATCTGCAGATACTCATCACAGTAACATGCACTTTACTCGCCGACTTTCACCTGTAGTTACACATAGATTTTCACTGCAGTTACACATCAACTTCCACAGCAGTTACTAAATAACTTTCACATGCAGTTACACATTAACTTTCACATGCAGTTACTCATTAACTTTCACATGCAGTTACACATTAACTCTCACATGCAGTTACACATTAACTCTCACATGCAGTTACACATTAACTCACATGTAGATACACATTAACTTTCACATGCAGTTACACGGTAACACTTTACAATAAGTTTCGTTAGTTAACATTAGTTAACTACATTAGTTAATATGAACTAATAATGAATAGCACATATACAGCATTTGTTAATCTTTGTTAATGTTATTTTCAACATTTACTAATACTTGATTAAAATCTTGTTAACATTAGTTAATGCACCGTAAACTAACATGAACAAACAATGAACAGCTGTGTTTTCATGAACTAACATTAACAAAGATGAACAAATGTATTGCTCATGGTTAGTGCATGTTAGTAAATACATTAACTAATGAACCTTATTGTAAAGTGTTACCAGTTACACATTGTCGGTTAAAAACAAGAAAGTGGCTAGTAAAAACGTCGAGTGGCTGGTCGATTTAGAAATCCACAGTGGCCGCCGGTGGACAAAAGAGTTGATTTCCATCCCTGCTTGGTAAATGTCAAGGTGTCATAACAAAGACATCTCAAACAATGTCATATTTGCATTAAAACTTTCATAACTGAGCAAAAGACACTTAATGACAGTTGTCACAAACATGCATAAACCTTCCTTCATATTCATAACATACATCATGTTAGTCTTATGCATACCCCTTCAAGTAACGTGTTACCAAAGAATGAATCTCAGACAGTTCATAAGAGAAACGTGTGCAGGATTCCGTGTTGCAAGAATGCTGTCTTGACGAAGCCTAACTTGCTTCATAAATGTAATATATTTTTTAATATTTAATTTATCAGTCAGAGCAGGAATCAAGGCTACATTCGAATAAACAAAGCCAGCGGAGCGATTATCTCTGTCCATCTTGAGGAATGAAAACGGTTGAACCAAAGAACGTATATTGACAAGAAGTGAACGCTCCATTGCAACACAAGTATTTTGCAGTATTATCTTATATTAATGACCGTTAAAACAAAACTATGTAAACAAAAAAAAACACAGCCACTGTTCAAAGTGGCAATTAAAGTTATAGGATAACGGACACAGCGCATCAATGATCATCATGTTTGTAGCATGATCCAGGGGATTAAAACGTACAAAATATATTTCAGGCCTAATGGAGTTGGTAACTAATATAAGTAGTAAATGTGTAAAGTTGCATACAATGGAAATACCATAGACTGTAAAAAATATGGACAAAGCGTCTGTGACGTCACTCATAGACTTTCTGAAGAACAGGTTTGAGGCTGTTTATGGGGGGTATGGGCGGCACCATATTAGAAAATCTTGAGAAATACAAAATACAAATGTTTCAGAAAGGATACAGAGATGCGTCGTGTCAGATCATGGCCAAGACGTCCAATTCCACTCGGCGCAGCCCGTTATCAGCTGTCAATCAAAGTTAACCGCCCTTATTTTTCATACATTTTACATCCAAATACGATCTAAACTAACGAGTTAGAAAAAAATTCACTCACCTCACAGTTGTCAGGCACTCAGAACCTATCGAAAAATACAATAAAAGTCAAACTGTAAACATATGAATTGATGCTGTGAAAACGGACATTTTAATGTGAGGTCTATGGATATTCAACCCCCTTTTGGGACCGGCCTCTAGCGGATTTTCGATGGATTGCAGTTTTTCCCACTTCCGGGTAGGCTTCATTTTTCAGATTAGAATTTTGCCGCTTGGGAAAAATTAGAAGAAAAAACTACCTCAAAAAACTGTTATCTATGCTGTTGTCCAGTAACTCCAGTTGGAATTTTCACCCCAAAATGGCGGCCCCGCTCCTGAAGCGCCACCTAGTGGCTTTTACCAAAAAAGCATCAGAGTTTTGCTTCTTGTTCTTCTATACTCTTTGGTTGAACTCTGACCAATAAGAGGATCGTTTTATACATGTGGCTTGCATAAACAAATTTTGGTACGCTTTGAAATGTTGCCTTGTGAAAGCAAACCGAACGAGTAAAAAATTAAATCCGTGCTTCAGAACACAGAAAATGACCTACAGGTATGAAAATGCAGCCTTACACTGCAACCTATGGCATGAGTTGGGCTTTGCTTATCAGGTTTTCTGATAATCAAGTCATTTTGTGTGAAAAGACAATGGTCATGAAAACAGTAGACTTCCTTTTGGAAAAAAATACTTTTGGCATTTGGTTGGAGAGACAGTGCTCACAGAAGGCACATGCAAACTTTCTTTCTCAATTGGCTCATTTTGGCTTTCATGGGCTCTATAATAACATTTTCTACTAGGGCTGAACGATTTTGAAAAATAATCTAATTGCGATTTTTTTTAACCAATATTGCGATTGCGATTTAATATGCGATTTAAAAAAAAAGTTCTTTACCTTCTGTATTAGTCGACAAAGACAAGCAATAAATCATTGTACAGTAGAAATGGGAATCTTTAGATAGCTCATGATCCGATTTAATTAATTAATCTTAATAACTCTTAAAATATGTATTTAATTACTTGTGTAAAAACACATACTTTAAAAAATAAAAAACACTTAAACCAATTACATGTTAAGAATTTTAAAATAGGCTATATAAAATAATATAGCTTCAAAATATAAAAGCTAGTAAATAAAGAGAAACAAAAAAAGCATTACAAGCAATTAACAAAGAGTGCTCTCAGTATTTAAAAGTAGGCTGTCTGAATGTTTTTCATTCAAGAGCTGGAGTGATTTCCCCTCAGTTTAGATATGATAAGCTGCATTCACACTAATGCATATATCTCTTTTGAAATTGTAAATGTGGTTTGTCCTGTTGGTTTAAGATATAACTGACCGTGTTCACATTAATTTCGCGTCATAAAAGCATTTTGACATGCAAGTACATTTAACCAATGAGTCGCTTACGGCCGCGTGCACGAGCGCTCTTCACAAAGCACGCGTTAGTATTTTAAAATGAAATCAGCCTTCTCAGTGATTTTCATAGTTTTCATATATAAGCCAACTGCATTCCAAAAGACATAAATAATGCCTCTGTGAAGCATTTGTAAAGAAAATTCCCACGGGAGAGAACGCGCACTGCAAGTGTAACGTTATAACATCAAGCAAAGCGGCAAAACCTGTTCAATGAAGCCCGCGAATGTCCTTGTAATTCGGTTCAATCCCGAACTTTATGAAATAACGCTACTATGTTTCGGAAGGTTCGAGTGGTGTGTGTGTGTGAGTGAGGAAGAGAGAGAGCGAGAAAATAGAAGCAAGCAGAACGGTTCGTTTCTAAAGCACGCGCAGCGTCATCACGCATCTGTGTTTAAAAACTAAGCTCAGACTCGATTCTGAAATTCTCTGAATAGATCCAGGATTGTTGAGGAGAGAATAAATAACACAATATCACATACATTAAAAATAAACTGTTCTTTTCTGAACGCCAAACCGCGTAGCGTGGCAAGTTGATGCTTTTATCTTGCAGACTGCTTTTCTCTCGCGTGTCACGTGACCAGTGTAATCGCAGCTCTTGCGATTACAAAATCACGTTTCATCATATCGCGATTTTATCGCAAATGCAATTAATCGTTCAGCCCTATTTTCTACCTCATGAATTTCGCTGAATATGAAATGAATATCTTCATAAATAGATATTAAAGGCTTTAGCTGTGCTTTGCCACTGGAGTATAATAGAAACCCACATTTTGCTTAAGCCGAACAATAACTCCTGGCAAATAAACCGTCGAGGTATAAAACGGTTAACGGTAAAGCTGTAAACGTGCGTGGGAGAGAGCAGACCTTGCCTATATCAGAGCAACTCAAAATTTCGACCCAAAAAAAACGACAGTGGTACCCCTGTGGGTTTTTTTTGGTGCGAAAGAATAAGTTTCTCTGATCTTCTTTAAACTCTGGATTCTGATAGAGGGCCATGAGACTTAGACCTGAGTGCAAAAATGGAGGCTCTAGACCCTTCCAGAGCTGAGATATTGAGATCCCACTTAGCATTTATACCATTATAAATATCTCAATATGTCAGCACTGGAAGGGTCTAGAGCCTCCATTTTTGCACTCAGGTCTAAATCCCATGGCCCTCTATCAGAATCCAGAGTTTCAAGAAGATCAGAGAAACTCAAAATTTCGACTCCAAAAAAAAAAACGACAGTGGTACCCCTGTCGTTTTTTTTTCGGTGCGAAAAAATAAGTTTCTCCAATCTTCTTGAAACTCTGGATTCTGATAGAGGGCCATGGGATTTAGACCTGAGTGCAAAAATGGAGGTTCTAGACCCTTCCAGAGCTGAGATACTGAGATCCCACGTAGCATTTATGCCATTGGGTTCGTGGACGGTGGAATTATGGGACGGCGCTTGGTGCTACGGACTCAGGGGCCCTAGCTGAGTGCAGTAAAATAGTTTTTATCATGACAGGAACTTTAATTAAAATGTCCAAAAAAATGGATGGATGGAAGCATGGCCTGGGAGTGGTAACGGGACGTTTGGTAAATATAGTGGGTTATTGGACAAATAGTGGGTTCGAGGGGACCGGTCAGTGGGCGGGGGGCCGGTCGCCCTTACGAAGCGGTGGTCGGATGGAGACCTCCAATGATTCCACGCTCATTCACGGCATCATCAAGCTATGCCTTTGTTTAGAATAAGCGACTTCTAGTGGCGAAACTTGCATACTGTGCCTTTAATACAGAATCAAGAATTAACACCAACCTCTTTGTTCTTCAGTATGTTTCATTCTGCAGTGTTCTGGATCTCATGTTCTCACTGTCCTTCAATAAACTCTGTGTTTGTGTAAGCTCTTCCTGATGGTTTGATGCTCGTCTTCACTTGTAGCTGAGGGGAATATTCCAGCGTTTATTGGTGAACTGCAGTGGGAGGAGCTTCACTGAAGGAGGAGTTTCACTGGAGGAGGAGGAGCATCACTGAAGGAGGAGATCTGGCAAAAATCAATAAGAAAACACATAGTGAGTTTGTTTTTATACTAATTTACACATTTTAAATGTTTATGCCCACCTTTTCTATCTAGTAAAGTAACTTTTAAGTTAATTAATCTCAAAGGTCTGATTTCACAGACAGGGCTTGGATTAAGCCAGGAATAGGCCTTTGATCAATTAGGGCATTTAAGTAGCTTTTGGGCTAGGGGTGTAACGATACCCTCATGTTAGGATTCGATATATATCATAATAGTGAACTCCGAATATCGAATGATATTGCGATACTGCAAGACATATGGTAAAAGGTAAACAAAGAAATTACTGTTGATTAAAATGCTAAATTTGGTATTACATTGGGAGTGGAAATGAAAAGGTTTGGACTTGGTGCTGGGAAACCAATGCACAGGACCACAGACACCAGAATAAAAAGAATTCATGATTCTGAAGCTGAAAATACAGAATTATATTTAGATGAATATGCTTGCAATGTTATTGGTAACATAGTACATTTGGCATTATCAGAACTGACAAATATCCCCCTCATTGCTTTATTATACTCAACATAATACAGTAGTTTAATGTAGTACCACCGACACTAAAACTCTATAAACTTGAATTTTTTTGCATACAGTAATTTTCATTTTGGGTGAACTACACTCAAAACCGTTTGTTACTATCCGCGCAATGCCCTGAACACGCACTAAATGTAGACCATCTTGAATACCGCATTGGAGCGTATCCTATCATGCATTAGGTGCGGGAACTCACATGCCCCGAAATCACAAGATGATGAGGAAAACATTCCACTGCAAGTTAAATGAACTACATTTTACATGTAATTTGGTAGAAAAACACATTGTTAAAGTGTCATTATAATGTTGCAAAGATGAGTATGGTATGTGTATTTTGTACATTTGCAGCTGCTTTTTAAATCACTTAATTAAAAGCACCATATTTTTTAATTATGCCTTTTGTTACATTGGGACTACTAACCAGACATTGTTGATTTTAAAATGCAAAGAATTGAAAATTTAAATAAAGCTCTGTAAACACTTGCATTTTTGTGTCCCATTGGGTAATCAAAAGTTCTAGTCATCACACCTACTTGAACACTTGGGCTAAATGCAGGAAATACCTACATCGTGCAAGTACACAAGTGCAAAGAACGCAAGTGTGGTCCTTCAAAAAACAAAAACATTACTAATGTGCATCTTGAGACAAAACAATAGCACTGACATTTTAAAATGCACTGACATTTTGCTGCTAGAAACAGATTGTTACAGACTGTATACTGAAAGAATAAAAGTGGTCTAATGTTAAAATATTATTTCTCAAATGATACAGTAAAATTGCAGGAACATAAAGACTAATGAAACCCATCTTTATCAAACATTGTAATTCGCCGATATGAATAGTTAATTTTCTACAACTATGTTACCAGGGCCTGAAATTAACTTTTTCGGCCACCGGCCACTGTGGCAGGTGGATTTAAAAATTCACCTGCCACAGAGACTTTTTACCAGCCACTTTTTTTTTGCCTCATATTTTGCCTCAGCCAAAAAATGGTAAAAAAGAACAATATTGTGAAATTCCTGTTTTTTTTTTTTTTTCATGTTTATTTAAAGGTGAAAAAAATGGGAATTTCACAACATTGTTCTTTCACTTGTAAGAATACACATTTAAGTGCTGTCAAGTAATAATAATATCTCTAAGAACATACATTTTTTTTTAAATATTTTTATTCATTGATTTTGTCACTCACACAACATATACAGTATATAGTATAGGCTATATAGTATATACTCAACAGATAGACCTACCGCAGCTCGTATGTAAACAAATCACACGCGGCTGGGTTGATGGCTGATTTAGTCACGTAGACAGATCCTGACAGCTTTTAGTTACAGCGTTCAGGAACCGTTAACTATGAACTAAATTAATATTGTTATTACTGGTAAAGGTACCGGACATTTTCTCACTGGTTCCCAACTCCCAACATGCACAGTTGCACATGCACACACATCTGTGCAACTGTCATTGTACGTAGGCTACGTCAGCGTTACATTATCTCATCCCATCTCACCAACAGTTTAATACTCGCACACGTAGTCAGAAAAAGAGCCTCATCTTCTTTCTGATCGCATGAACGTTACGAAACAACAGTCGCTGTCATAAATCAGCCGCTCACGAACCTTGCCATTTCCGCCGATTGTTCACTTTGTATTAAAATGTCTTCTTTACTTTTCTTTTCCTCATCCTCATCTTTTTGTTGGCTGTTTTGTTTCAGCTGGCCTCTTTACCCCAGTAATGTGCCGCCACATTTTAGCTAAAGTCAAACGCAATAGCGGACATCGTTGAAATGTAAAAATCCTATGAATCACTCACAATTCTCATTGGCTACCTGCCAATGTGGCAGGTAGATTGACAGTGTTACCCGCCAATAGGAAAATTCACCCGCATTTGGCAGGTGGTCGGGTGTTAATTTCAGGCCCTGTATGTTACACATCTAGAAAGGAGCAGACGTCGTTTCTGGTGCAACACATTTTATATTGGGGCTTTGCATGCAATCCTGCAAGACAGATTTAACAGTACACGGTCAATCATCAGTGGAGCATCTCAATTTGGTGTGTTATCTGCTCGTCTCTGCATTAACTGCTATATTGTGCGCATTCTCACATTCAGTATGACATTTAATAATTGCTCATTATAACATTCCCTGTTGCTCACTAACCTAAATTAACATACAGTTTGCAAATCAAACATGTGAACATACAGTATATCTCGCCCCATATCAAAAATAACAAATAACCCTCGTTAAACTTAATTTGAAACTATACATTTCCCTTTGTCTGTTAAACACTTTCCAAAGTACATACATTCTCTTTCTCAGCATGACTTGTTTACTCTAAATAACACATTACACTTTAATGTTCTCTCATGTCACATTTCACGACTCTTTTATATCATTATTGAGCAAATCACTTCGTTTGAGTTTCACGTATACCGTGAAACCGTGATATTTTCTGAGACGATTATCATACCGTGAAAATCTCATACCGTTACAACCCTATTTCTAACAATGGAAAGATTAATGCAAATGGGTGGAGTTGCTAGGGCTGTAACATATACGATATAAAATCGAAATCGCGATACTCAGGTCCACGATACTGTATCGCGATGTGAGAAGGCAGAATCGCGATACACCCCTTCCACCTCCCAGTTATCTTTCCCATCCAGATCCAATGCTATCTTTGAATTACTATTTATATTATTTGAAGTTAACATTATAAAATATGTAGACCTACACCACAAAACTAGTTGAGGTTAAATTAGCCAAAACTGAAATCCATCAAAATAATACATTCTCAGAAAATGCATTAAATACCAATATATTGACACTTCTGTTTATATATCCATAGCCTACTCCCTTAATAAAATCCAGTACGTCCACACATTAGAAAAATACAAGTCTACACTTGCATTTTATATTTAATATGAAGGAAATACACACGCGTACACGGACGCGACACAAAACATCTTTAATATTTAGGTAGCAAAAATATAGCCTATATTTTTTATAATTCTGTAAATTACACTGTACAAACCAAAATAAATACTAGGCTGCCCACCGAATATATTTATATATATTTATATTTACCATATATAGGGCGCACCGGATTATAAAGCTCATAAGATACTGCAGTCAAACGTTTGACTGGGTTTGCGTTATGCATCCACTATGTGCTAAAGGCTAAAGAGAATGTAGCGAGTGCACGGCGCCGGAGGTGAGGCGTTTATTTAGTAAGTATGAGCGCGCTGAAGCGGGCACGTACATTCGCAGCCTGACCCATATGAGTATTCAATGTGCGAGGCTCGCTAACAGCAACAGTTGGCTGTTTTGAATGAGACGACGACGGTTACCGTGAACAACGGGGAGCGCTTTATGCGCGAGCAGCACTGGGTACAGTGGGTCTGTTAAGAGTGCGGGCATGTGATTTACACACATAAAAATACGTACTACTTTTTTTTTCTTCGTCATTTTCTTTGCTTTATTTGTGGTAGTCCAGTGTTCCTCTTTATGTTTGGCGGTTTCGCCGGGTCCCGCATGGAAGTTAGAGAAAATAGAGGAGTCAACGGTTATATGACGCCATAAACGGGCGACGAAACGGAAATAAAGAAACGTCCCGTGTCTTCGAATTAAACTATTTCTCCGTATTTGAAAGTTGGTGGAAACTGTCGGGATAATGTAAATACACATCTAATAGAAATATATAACATACAGTTATTTTTGCTATTTTTTAAGCAGAAAAAATACATTTTGTGGTTTTAAAATGATGGTACACGGCAACCTTTTCACGACTTCAAAGACAGACGCAGGTAATCGCACGCGCTCTGCTGATATATCTGGCTACACATCATCACCAAAATAAAACAGTCTTGTTATCATATTACATTATATACTTGTTTAACATGCAATACATGCATGAAGTTCAAAACAAGAAGGGTATAGCCTTATAAAAAATATATAGTTGGAGCACAGAAAACAACCCAAAAGTAGCAGCCTACACTGCCTAGTTTAGTTTAATAATTTGCATAGTTATTATTGTTTTTTTGGTGTTCAGATTCTATACGTTTCTCCAAATGTTATTTAATAAAAATACCTGTATTTTTTCCTCTCAAAATCTATTTTTCAGCCCAAGCCTCGCCCCCGTGATAGAATCGCGATACAAATCGAATCGTGGGTCAAAAATCGTGATACGAACCGAATCGTGGGTTTGGTGTATCGTTACAGCCCTAGGAGTTGCCCTTTAACTCTAATGTCCCCGCTGCGTGCAACTTGGGCAAAATGGCGGACACCCGCGAACTCCACGTGTGTTACTGAACTCGCGTCACTTAAACTATTATTTTACCCATCACTATCACACAACCTCTACATAACAGTACTGTCTTTCCATCTCCATTGCATAATACCAATTATCGTTTCACATACGAAGTTTCATTGCCGCGTTGTTTCTGATCACGCTCTATCCACGGGTGATAACAATTTCGTGCTCAAAACTTACGTTACTTAACATAAATCCTAAATACTCAAATACTAAACATAACTGTTCGTGGACCCATTTGACTTAAGTAATCTTACCTGTAAAAAAGATATAACAGTAGCAACACAGTCAATCATCAGTGCAGCATCTCTGCTAGTTGCACGCGGCCGCCATTTTGGATTTCTGATCCGTGGCGTGAGTGTGCGCGGTCGGACACTTCCGGTTTCGCTTTACGTCGCCGGTGTGGTGAAGAGACCGCATACTTCATAGTAGGGAAAAAGCAGTAGGCGAGCGAATAAGTATGCCCGAATCCTTAGTATCCATAAAAGAGTAGGCGAGAATTACCAGAGTGACGTACTAATTATCGCGAGATTCCGGTGTTGTGCCTAGGCATACGTATACTTATATATCCCTACTTTCGTACTATAGAGTAGGGGGGAAAAGTATTTGAAAGGAGTAGTATGTCCGAAATCTCAGTAACGTTACTCATAAAAGAGTAGGCGAGAAGTTCCCGAATGATCTCCTGCTTTCGCCCAGATTTTTGAGTGTTCATCGTATGGATACTCTTCTATCCCAGGAGGCCACGGGAGAGCATACGTCATTATCAACATCGCGGAGATCAGCGAAGCAGGGGTTTTCAAATGTGAGTAAACACGGTTCCTTGTGTTTAAATCGTATGTGTTAAACTACTATAGAGTAAACGTTTTAACTGTTGAAGGTCTAAAGGACTTAGACAGTATAGTATTGTGATTTTGCTGTAAACACATGTTTTATTATAGCTAGTTAGTTAAACAGGGGAGCTCCAGTAAGTAGGCTACACGTAACGTTAAGTTTCTAAAATGGATTTACATAACCATATAACGTTACATCTTAAACACGCTTATTTAAAATGTCTATTTACATCTGAAATGAAAATATTGTTTAAGTATTGCATATTGCACATTCCAAAATGAAAAATACATCTGAGTGATGTAACGTTATGTGTGCTATTATGAAGGATAATTCACTGACACTACTTAGACAAATGTGCTGTAAATAAGGTAAATAAACAAATCTTTAAAGTAACTAAATATGTTATATTTAATTTGTCCCTTATTAGTGTTGATATATTGAGGAACATTTAAGTTGGATTAAAAGTGAGTAACATATCAACCTCCGCATGTAAATTTCAGTGTTGAGCTCGTAATGTGAATCGTAGTTACAGGGACAGAAGAACCGGCTCATGATGCTGAATGCTGTCATCAAAAGGCTTTGAGTAAGTATACTACAGAAATGGATAACAAAATCTATTCAATCTAAATTGTATTTTATTTGAATTATTGTAATTCAAGTCGAGAAATTACAACACTTTTCTGATTCTTGATTTCTGTGCATTTGCTGCAGAGCTTTTGTGGTGGAGCAGGACCTGCAAGGAAGATGATGGCAGCATTTGTTTTAGGGATTTTACTCAAATATAAAGTAAGGTTATTTTTAAAAACATAAATCAAATGACATTGTGTGTTAAAATGACTGCTTTTGTATAAGTTTGTGCATTTTGTAGGATCTGAAATGTCTGCAGACTGGTGTGAGCACTGAGGATGAGGAGCCCAGAGCTGCATCCTGGAAGTGGTGCCATGGATGAGACGCTCCATCTGTCCACCTGCCCTTATGAGTTCCTCCATCTCTCCACCTGCCTTTACGAGACCCTCGATCTCTCCACCTGCCCTTATTGCCTCATATTGTGAAGCACAGCACAGCAACAAGCTCTGGGACGAAGGCACAGTCACCTCTGGTGAATTCATCAGAATAAAGCCGCAGAATGGGAACCGCTGTGTTGAGTCGGCAGTAGGTTATGGTGTTCAGCGCCTGTAAATACATGTTTGTAGTTTGAATAAAGCTTTGTTTCATGTGTTGTTGACTTTTATTGTTTATTGTGATGGTTACTTTTATTTGTTCTTTTACTCATTTATTCATTTTTATTATTGTTGTCAGTATATAAAATGTAATTATTTAATCAATGTATCCATTAATTAATTGATTGACTGACAATTGAGATGTTTCACTGCATTTGCATTTATGAATAGAAATGTATTCATGCATAACTGTCATATGACAAAACAAATTACATTTTGCTTGTTATATTAAATTATGTTTTTAGTATATAAAAAAGTTATATAATTAAGTATTGGTCAGCATTTAATATTACATATTATTTTGTATAAGTTTTGGGGTGGGCTAACAATGCAATTCATTCTGAGGTAATATTAATTTTTAAGGAGTGATACTTACATTTTTCGAGTATAAAATCAACAGTTTTCTCCAAAAGAGATCTTCGAGCAGCTGCCCGTCTCCTTTATGCAGACATTACAAACGCAGGGGAAAACTGTTCTAGGTTGTGCTGTCGAGTTACTGATGTTATGAAGTGTTAGTGCACCTGTTAATCATATAATTTAAACTTCTAAACGTATTACATACAAGATACCATAACAGTCAAGATGACAAAACAGAAAACACAAAGATCATTGGCTTGTGTACATCATAATATGACATCATAATATAATATTTATACACAGGAAAAAGGAACAATAACAAGGCTAAATATCTTTAAATAGTTCTTCATAATACATACAAAAAAATGTTGTTTTGTTGTTATAAGTCTGAGGGATGAAACGAGGTAAATTCATCAAGAAAAGGAGGAAAACTTAAATGAGAAACTTTTTGGGTATAAAATAAAGAAATTAACAACATATATTCAAGAGGTGACGATTTGGGGGTTTCTTAAAAAAAAATATCGTTATAAGAATAACACTGTGGGTCACATTAGTAGGGTTTAAAATATTACAACTTAAATCAACCTTAAAGGCAGCTGTTTCTTAAACAATACCACAACAGAATGAGCAAGTTTCATCAATGTCAAGATATTTATAGATAGAATTAAACGTGTCGTTGTTCGTTTCTTTTTGCTGTTGCGCTTGTGATATGATGACAACGCGTCGTAGTAGGTCACATGATAACGTTAACATGGCAGATGTTCTCATTCATACTCAACGAGATTTGGCTATTTAGCGCTCGTTGAGTAAGTAGTTATTATGAGTCATTCATGTATTTTAACTTATATGTTTCATAATACTAGTATATAACCAAATCTGTAGATTGTAAATTAAACATTTCTCGTTCTTATTGTTTTTTAGTTAGTTTACATAGTAGCATAGCATTTCCGCGGCAAACGTCAGAATGACTAGCCGAGTTAAGGCTGTTCCAGGCGGGCTAGATGTGCTGCTGATCCCTGGTTCTGACAACTCCGAAAACGTCAGAACAATGTTTTAAAAAGGCGCAGTCTTTATAAATAAACCACAGATTTGAGCTTTAAACAACTATATTCAACTATATCAAATTACACTGAAGGCGCAATCGCTCCGGTATTTCCTTTAAAGGCAGGGGGTTGACTGCTTTTTTTCTTTGCATGATTCTGTTTATGGGATGCAATATAACATATATTCGTGTTTTTTTAAGTCTTATTTTTTCATAAACTTCACCTTTATTGTAAATGGCCTAAATAAAGTTATGAAACTTCACTTTTCCCTCAGCCAAAACGATTTGGCATGAAACAAACTATATTAAAATAGTTTAGCATTGTTTGGTCTTATAAGATAAACAAAAACATGCACTGAAAAGTTGATGGTTGATTAGGCCTATTTGTCAAGATAGCATAAGTAATTGTTTTTCATAGATTAAAATAGCTTTTAAATTACACAAACTGGCAATATTAGATCGGTTTAAAACATCTCCCCTTAAAACGCTATTGGTCTCGACTATTTACAGGTTCTCAAAGCGATCCTGTTGACGTTCGAATATTTTCAAACAAATCGGAGCTCCCTCCTCCGCATCTCATCTCCTCCCCCTCCCTTCCGTGCTCCCTGAAATAATTGTGAACGTGCATAGTTCAAGCTAATTATATCCTTGTGTGGGTTTGGCGAACATAAGCGTCAATTTAGAAGAAAAAAAAAACAATTTAACGTTACCCACCTGTCCAGCAAAAACAGAGCAACCTGAATGTCGGACTGGAAGCCCTTCTGCCGCCGGAGTTCTCGCAATCATTCAAAAGCTTTGCTACTGATGTAAATTCGGAACTTCGCACGTTCTTTATCCGACTCCTTCTTCTTTTTAATTTGTTCCTCAGAACGACGTCTCTTTGGTCGTGTGTTGGTAATTTTTCAAACTTCCCTCTGATGCTTCGCTGCTCTCCTCACACACACACACCCCCCTTCATGTGCACGCGCACTAACCCCCCAGACCCACCCTCAAATACTTGCCAGTGATTGGCTGGAACACTGTTTGTTAGGTTTCGTGGTGCGGGTGGGACATGATTGTTTTTGTTGCCGTTTGTGGAGCCTGTGGTGTCTACAGAGACGGCGTTTTTTTACAGTGTGTTTAGGGGACAGGCAGCTAGCCGATAGTGAGGAGACGTTTGAAGTATGTGGACAAAAAATGTTTTGGCCCAGCATCGCTTAGAGAACCTTTAAATAAAGTTACAGGAATATGACTTGGCCTGAAAAAAAAAAAAAAATTCAGTCAGAAGAATTTTTTGTCAATTTAATCCCTGCATCCAAAAACATTCTCAAAAAAAAAAAATCATAAATAAATAAAAATGCATGATTAAATATCAAAATAAATAATTAATACTAGAATAACACTGGATTAATTAAGTCATTCTAAACTGTTTCTATGATCCACATATTTTACGTCAAACTAAAGCATATACCTTTTTGAAAAAGTAGCTATCTAACAAAGTATTTATATATGATATTTTACAATCAATATCCTCAAGACTAATTAGCCTTCCTTGAAATAAGCAGATTTGGTCTATTCATCAATGCAAATTTACTGCAACTGCTGAAATGCAAATTGAATAGGATGAACAAATATGTATTGTATACAATTTTATTACAGTTATATGAATTCATTAATTGTGTGTTTATTATATGAATGATTAATATAATTATGCATTTATATAAATAAGGCTGTTATTTGTGAGTGACACTAATACATTGGATTATTTTATTTATTACAGTTTTTCTATCACTTTTGTAAAGTGAAAAGTTAATATAAATTGTATTTTATTGTTTTGATTTAGAGCAGTAAATAACTGCTATTAAAAGATGACAGGGTATCACTGTTTATTGCTGATTTTAAAGCTTAGTGAACTT